TGGCAATGGTGCTCCTGCCGACTACCACGACGAGACAACGGATGAATCAGACTTCGAGCAAGACGCGCACGTGTTCAGCTCATCTCCAACTTCCCCACCTAGCTCTGATTGCGACCATTCTGGCAATGGTGCATGCGTTTCTCCTGTCGACTACCACGATGAGCCAACGGACGTCGATGACGACGTGCAGGGAGTTAGTTCTACCCTCCCCCCCGGGAGGCCCAGTAACCGGGCCGACCGCCAAGCTCTACCCCAGCTCGCGTATTTCAGAAGCCACAGGAAAGCTGCTCTTGCAAAGTCTAGCTTCGAAGCATGGTCTCACGAAATCTGCAGTACATGATATGCTCCAAGTTTTGAGGCTGCACATGCCGCTAGAGGCAGTTCCTCTGAGCTACTCATCACGCTACCGCGTCTTTGGTGGTAGAAGCTCCATGAACAATGCTATTGTACACAAAATGTGTAGTGGTTGTGGGGTATTGCTGAGTTCTTCTCCATGTTCTGACAACAACTGCAGGGGGGCTTCTTTGAGCTCCCAATTGATCTCCAGATTTAAGACCTTTTTAAAAGTAAGATTATCAGCATTCACTGTGCTATATTATGTTTTGGTTATAGATCCGAGTTTCCCAGGGACGCTTTGCAACAGTAACAGAAGCTGGGCATTACTCCGATATTTACAACGGGGAAGTGTATGCTAGCAATATGCATAGTGATGGGTCCCTACTAATATTTCCATGACCCTATATATTAGTTACTCCGTTCGAGGGAATTCAACGAACCCGAGGGCCTCCGCGTTGTAGTGTCCCGAGCGCAGCGAGGGCAACTACGCAGATGGCCCGAGGGTTCATTGAAATCCCGTAGTTCCCGAGTATACGGAGTAACTAACAGACAAATCCGCACACGCACAGCGCCCGTTTCCAGGCGACTGAAATTCAAATGAGCGTTAAAATGCGTAGTGCACCTGCAAGAAGTCTGTGGGCAGTCTCTGGAGCTCGCGAAAGTCAGAAATCACGTCAATATTCCACGAAAAAAGTGTCGGCTTCTTCAGCTCTGGCGATACACAAACACATTGGGCCGTTGCCGTGCGTTGCTAACCCTTTCAAACGCGCACCACCAATGAGGGCGTTTTATGATGACGTACACGATTTTTGACGGGGGGCGGGGGCTGTCTCCTCGGAGAGTTGGACAAAATCTCACACGTAAAAAAGCGTCTTGTTCCATCTGAAGGTAAGAATGAGCGCAGCGTTGCTAGCTTGTTGCTACCCATTTGAACGCGCAAACACCAATCAGATACTTCGGTCTAAACCGGTTAGACGCGGAAGCTCGGTGTCAACGTTACATTGCAACCCTCGGGGCATGTGGGTAGCGTCCTCGCTGCGCTCGGGACGCCAACATTCCACAGCCCCTCGGGTTGCAATGTAGCGTAGACACCACGCTTCCGCGTCTAACCTATATATACCAAGTTTCATCTCTATGCGTGCTACCGTTCTAAAGTTTGAGGAGTGAAGAAGTAAATTTAAACAAAAGTGCCTGAGGCTATTTGTTGTTGTGGTCGTCATGGAAACGATGTTACACACATGCACACCAAGTTTCACCACCATGCGTGCTACAGTTAGCAAGTTTGAGGAGTGAAGAAGTAATTTTAAAGAAAAGTGCCTGAGGCTATTTGTTGTTGTAGTTGTCATGGAAACGATGTAATACACATGCGCACCAAGTTTCACCTCCATGCGTGCTATAGTTAGCCAGTTTGAGGAGTGAAGAAGTAATTTTAAAGAAAAGTGCCTGAGGCTATTTGTTGTTGTAGTTGTCATGGAAACGGTGTGATACACATGCGCACCAAGTTTCACCTCCATGCATGCTACAGTTAGCAAGTTTGAGGAGTGAAGAACTAATATTAAAGAATATTGCCTGAGACTTTTTCACCCAACATGCGGTCGTCATGGAAACGTGTAATCGTCACGGAAATGATATACATACCAAGTCTCATCTCTATGTGTGCTACCATGAGAAGTGAAGAAGTAAATTTAAAGAAAAGTGCCTGAGGCTATTTGTTGTTGTTTACAAACATTGTGTTGTTGTGATTTTAATGTTGGTGATTGAATACATTATGTGTACAAAGTTTCGTTCACATAGCGCTTACCATTTGTGAGTTGTACTGACACATGTGATCCCATTATAATGTATTGCCCGGGGCTATTTGTTGTTGTTTACAAAGAAATAAGTATGACCAGTCTCTTCGGGTGACGGATATATACATTCTAACAAAATTTCATTAGTTTATGTTGTTTCGTTTTTGAGTTACGCGAGTTCAATCTGAAGAAGAAGAAGAAGAAGAAGATGAACAAAACTCCCTATCATAGCCCCATACATCTATGATGCTAAGTACCATACCAATCCCTATATACTAAGTACTACCGTACTTAGTGATACAGACCATGATGTTTAATAATCGTGTAGGGACCTCTGATACAACCTCCTCGTTATATCGATTTGGTGGAAGGTTTTTAGGGGTATCCCTCCCAGCACATGAGGTGCTGGGAGCTGTAAAGGACTCTATAATGGCTTCCTCCCTCACACGAAAACTTATGTCTCTCCTGTTTACTAATGAGGAGATGGCAAGATCATCAGTGGGGGGGGGGAAATAAAGAGGCCCATTGTTAGACAGAATATGGAATAATAGGTTACAAGACATAATATCTATTCTCACAATCGTTTTCTCTTTTTCATGCAGGGTTCTCGATCAGCAAGTACCCAGCAGCTACCTCTGAGTACCTGATTCGTCAGGCCAATGATAAGTGAACGGAAAAAGTACAGCATGTCTAACAACACTTAGCTATCATTGGCCTGACAAATCCGGTGCAAGGTTGTCTATGCTCTATTTCATGTATTTATCATGCTAATACTTATGGCAACATGAACAGGTACGCACCACGCATGCACGACAAATAATTATGACACACAGAAACAAGCTTGTGAATGTTCAAGCCTGGTGTGGTGTGCAAGTTTGATACAAGCAAAATCCGCAAAATACAGCTTGCCTGACAAGCTTGCCTGACAAGTGCTTGGCTCAAGCTTGATAATTGACCAAGCTTGAACAAGCTACAAGCTTCGTTATTTTTAAAAGGGACGTTGCACATGTGGTTGATTGACATGGTACCTAGCATCAGGGAGTTTTGTTCATCATCTTCTTCTTCTTCAGATTGAACTCGCGTAACTCAAAAACAAAATAACATTATAGTAATGAAATTTTGTAAGAATGTAGATATCCATCACCCGAAGAGACTGGTCATACATATTTCTTTGTAACACAACAATAAATAGCCCCAGGCAATACATTATAATGGGATCACATGTGTCAGTATAACTCACAAATGGTAGGAGCTATGTGAACGAAACTTTGTAGACGTAATGTATTCAATTAAAAATCACAACAATACATGTTTGTAAACAACAACAAATAGTCTCGGGCACTTTTCTTTAAATTTACTTCTTCACTCCCAAACTCTCCAATGGTAACACACATAGAGATGAAACTTGGTAAGTATGCCTATTATATCATTTCCATGATGATTACATGTTTCCATGACGACTGAATTTTGTTTGAAAAAGCCTCAGGCAATTTTCTTTAAAACCAGTTCTTCACTCCTCAAACTTGCTAAATGTAGCACGCATGGAGGTGAAACTTGGTGCGCATGTGTATTATATCGTTTCCATGACGACCACAACAACAAATAGCCTCAGGCACTTTTCTTTAAAATTACTTCTTCACTCCTCAAACTCGCTAACTATAGCACGCATGGAGGTGAAACAACCACGCGCAACAAATAGGTAAAATAACGACACCAACAGGTTCAACGCTACACTAGCTTGATTTAGAAAATACCGAGTTTCGTAAAAGTGCCGCGTTCAGAAGTTATGGCATGAAAACCAAGTGAACAAGCCAATATGCAAATTAGCACAGGCCTACCTCGACCGGGTCCGCTTGCTCTGTGTACCTTGGAGGCACAAGAAGTCACAACGAACGGCGTTTATCGACTCCCGCATGCTATCTACTACTGTAGCTAGCCCGTGTCAGACTCATCGCGAGCTACTCCGCGAGTAAACGCATACTACAAATAGCCCAGCCCATCAATTAGCGGTACCGCGCATGCGCAGTTCGCCGAGGGTTTGCACTCATTAACCCTCGGCGCGCATGCGCAGCGAGGGTTACGGTAGTTTGTTTGTTTGTCTGTCCATGCTCCAACTCACTTCTCGATGGTTTATTCGTCCCACAAACGATACGACGTAATAAACGGGTAATAAGAATCAGTTTAATCGAACAGTTTTTTCTGAAACGACTTCGTTCGAGAGTGACAAACTGGCACCGTCGCGGACCGTGTTCCGTGGCCCAACCCATCAATAAGCGGTGCGCATGCGTATATTAGACGCGATCAACGCGGTATGCTGGCTCACCCCGACCTGATCCGCTTGCTCTGTGTGCCTTGGAGGCACAAGAAACCACAGCGAAGGGGGTGTATCGACTCCCGCATGCTATCTACTACCGTAGCTAGCCCGTAACAGACTCTCCGTGAGCTACTAGCGGGAGACTGCGGGTCCGTCTATTAGCAGTACCGCGCATGCGCAGTCCGCCGAGGGTTTGCACTTCAGTGCTTTTCATGACTTATGGGAGCTCGGGTTGTGGTCTCGAGACGCATAGCGCACTGGACAACGCCTCGTGCTGTATGAGTCTATGAGTCTCTCGACCACACCCCTCGTTCCCATAAATCACAGCATTATCATGACATCGCGTAATATACCGCATAGTTGCCAACTTGATATTCCGGGACAGCGGGCGATTTGTTTACCGCGCCCCTTAATTTACGTCAAATTAGTAATATACGCAATGTCGCGTATTAATGTTCGTGATACGCATGCGCAGACGTGAAGTGGGCGGGGATAATTCCGAGAGTATAATATTATATATACTGCTTTTTTGCCTCGACCTGGACACCGCCGGGACAATGCTCAAACTGCCGGGACTGTCCCGGTCATTCCAGGACGGTTGGCAACTATGATACCGCCGGCGCGTTCATTTGCGGGCACCGTAACTTATTGCGCATGCGCGATTCGATACATTGCTCCACGCCCATTGCTTGCCCCGCCAGCGAACTCATTAGTCCTCAGCAGCAGCCCCTTCCTTACGGTTGTCTCCTAAGGATCCCCCGATTGGTAGTCGTTAACCACGCAGGTTAGTCCTTGTGAGCGAAGCATACCAGAAACATTGTGGTGTTTGTATGTGCGTTCATCCAGTAAAATACTTGTCTGTACGACACTAAATCACTTGATGCTGTGGGTAAACATCGTGTGGGCTTGCATACCTCCGGCATTAGTAACGGGGCATGTGGTGTATACACATCCTAAACAAGTGTATGTTCGTACGACAGAATAATATTTTTTTCCCTAGCAATGAACACGAGATGACGAAGGCCTTGATGAGATGGCAACAGCAGAACCAATCTCAAAGGTGTGTCTGAGCTCCCCCTCAGCCATGTAAGTGTGTACTGTTGCTACATGTGTAGTGTGCTACTGCAATAGTTAAGACTGGTTCAGTCCAGAAGTGTTCACAGACACCAAGAGACTGCAGTCAAATGTTCCACCGTCTTTCATGTCTTGTTCAGTTTTGACTGTTAACAACATTCATGTACATACGGATGAATTTAGACAGTGTGCTTATAAGGCACAGAGATTCAGTGATTGGTGAAGATGGGTTGAAACTCTAGCTGTGTGTCCACATTCTCTACTAGACCTTAGCTGTATGTACATAGCTGTGGTTTACTGGTTGTGTACATACATAGTTGTTAATTCCCTTAATTATGGCGGATGGGCCAATGCACCCAACTTTAAGGAATGTAACAACTTTGTTAGCCATTGATCCCCATTCATCACTGCCTACTTTCCAGTAAGCCACACGGTTCCTGTACCCTAGTATTGTTAACGCTCGGTGTGCATGCGCAGTGAGGGTTACAGTATTTGGTATGTTAGTGTGTGTCTGTCCTTTTGTCTGTTACCACGTTTTCTGCGACGAGTCAACAAAACAGCGATACTAATGGATTCATCGCTACACTGGTTTCATTTTAAAGAAGGCGATTTTCATATAACTACTGCATTCAAAAGTTATGGCGTGAAAAGCAAGGGAACAAACCTGTATGCAAATTAGGCGTACGTACCTTGACCTGGTCCTCTTGCTCTTTGTGCCTTGGAGGCACAATAAGTCACTATGAATGGCATGTGTCAACTCCCGCATACTATCTGCTACTGTAGCTGGCCTGTGTCAGACTCTCCGCGAGCTACTAGCGGGAGGCCTTCAATAAACATATACAAATGGCCCAGCCCTTCAATTAGCGGTACCATGTCTGCGCAGTTCGCCGAGGGTTTGCACTATATATACAATTAACAGAGAGTTTTCTGTCACTGCAGAGAGCGGCTGTATAAGTCCTGTGATGGTGGGAGGGGTGACGAGGTAGAGAGGGTGCTGGAAGGGAGGGTGACCCAGGAAGACAGGACTGCCCTGGCCAACTACAAGAGCAAGGTCAGCCCACTCCGCCGAATGGCATACTGATGCTCAATCAATCAATGTGCGTGGGGGAGGGTATTATACTCCTACAACAGGCATAATCTGTGGAACTGCACCAGTATATAACGGTGTTACTAATGTGAAGCACATGATGCTGTATGAAAAGCACTAAAGTGCAAACCCTCGGCGAACTGTGCATGTGTGGTACCGCTAATTGTTGGGCTGGGCCATGGGCTATTTGTAGTATGGGTTTACTCGCTGGAGTAGCTCGTGGAGAGTGTTTCAGAGGCTCTCTTGTGGGTTTTACGCACTTTATCCGTCTCTTGCCTGTTCAAAGGGTGTTTCGAAAGCTCTCACATTCGCTTTTTGCATTCTACTGTGCTTCGTTGCTTGGGATATATTGCCAGACTGCGCTTTACGCTTAGATGGGAAGGAATGGCCGCATCCACAAACTGCTCGTCTAACGTGAACTGCTGTGCTACATTGCGGACATACCTTGCTCAGTTTGTTGTCCATCGAGAACAGAGATCAACACTGACTGAGGAGAGAAACTCAAGAACCGCTTGCTCGTCTAAAAATAACCACGTGGCATCTCGCAGATGCGCATGCTCCGGCAAACGGTAAACTCCCACATACGCGCGTGCGCGATGGATCGCTCACGCCTGATGCTCCAGCAAACGGTATACACCCACATACACGCTTGCGCGATGGATCGCTCGCGGACGCTTTTTCGCTTGTTTTCATGCAATATCTCTGGAACGCAGTCATTTCAGGAAAATCGCCACATTAATATCCATCTCCTCGTTGTTCACAACCCGTTGGTGCCACTCATTGGCCGCCTCGTAGCCTGTAGTGCGAGAACTCGTGCGGACAGACAGACAGACAGACCGACAGAACAAGTACCGTAACCCTCGCTGCGCATGCACGCCGAGGGTTAATTATGCGGAAGTAGGTGGTACATTAAAACAGTTCAACCTCACTAATCCAAGCCTCTGAAATGCAGCCAGATTCACTTAATAATTGGCGAGCCTTCTTAGTCGTTTCAATGCAGGAATAATTATATTTCCATGTGAAGGGCACCATGTAATAGGCACTGCACATACCGTAATGTTGTACTGTACATGCAAAACACAAGTGAAATACCCAACGGTCTCTAAAAATGTGTCGCACTCCCCTGGTTTGTGAGTGTGGTGATTGTGTTGTCCCACAGGAGACAGGGTTCACTCCACTGCACAGAGTGTGTCACCATGGTCACCACCAGTGCATCCCTCCTCTCCTCAAACAGAATGCTGACCCTCACATCTGGGACCATGTGAGAGCATCACTCCTAGTGCTAATGGGACAAAACACTTGTGGCTGTCGTGAAAGTGTTATTGTTACAAGATTGCTCAAGATTTTTCCAAACCGAGGGTGTTGAGTTCATGAATGCGACCATAGAACGAACGTACACAAAAGTCTGAATTTGTTTGCACTGGATGGTGGGAGAGATGAAGTTTTTAATGTGGAGTTTGATATGTAAATGGAGCATTACTCCTGAAAACTTCTGGCATATTTAACCCTAGGCGGGCATCGGCAGCATGGGGTTACTGTACTTGGTTCGTTAGTGTGTCTGTCTGTCTGTTACCACGTTTTCTGCCACCACGCGTAACGAGACAACAGAAGAAAAGGTTCAGTGCTACACTGGCTTGATTGTATATTTGGCGATATCCTAAAAGTGCTGTGTTTGAGAGTTGTGGCGTGAAAACCAAGTGAAAAAGCCATTAGCACCGGTTACCTTGACCGGGTCCACTCGCTCTGTCTATCTTGAAGGAACAAAAAGTCACAACGAAGGGCATGCATCGACTCAAGCAGGGTGTATGTACGTATCTACTACTTTCACTAGACTCTAGGGAGAGACTCAGACCACGAGCAAACGCATGGCTATTAAATAGCCCAGGCCGTCAATTAGCCGTCAATTAGCGGTACCAGTTCGCAGAGGGTTTGCACTTTAGTGCTTTTCATTGTGTTTTGATGTATTTGCAGTGTGGGTTTGCCCCCATCCACTGTGCTGCCAGAGGTAACCACACGGCCTGTGTGGAATTCCTAATCAACAGCAGAGACTGTGACGTCAATGAAAAGACACAGTTTGGGGAGACCCCTTTCCTGATTGCTTGTCTCAGTGGTTCTCTTGAGGTGGCCAGGTATGTGCAACTCTCTACTTAATAGTAGTGTTTTTTATGACAGGATGCATGTTGAGCTGTTACAAGTGTAGACGTGCTGTTTCAGAATGAGCTTGAGAAGAGCACTTTTTGCCATGAAACACTGTATACTACACACAAGTCAAACAGTGGCGCATGAGTTTAGTTACAGTTTTAGTCTGTACCCAGACCCCGCCCATAGGATAGGAAAAGGGTCTGGTGACTATTGAGAGATGTCTTGGTTATGCTGACTGACAGTGTTACTTTCAAGACACCCAATCAGCTGTGACCGTTATTCGTAACAATACTCCTGAACTGTGGTGTCCACAAACGAAAACAGGTCTCTTTATACATGCACTCGACAATGATGAGCAGGGGCGGCGGAGCAGGGGGTACAAGCTATGCCCCTCCTAGTTTTTGCCGGTATGCGTACACATGCGCGGTGCGAGACTATCGAACCTTGAACCTACGCCATGTGAACTCCATTGTCTTCTCCACTGGAGGCTAAGACGTCGTCTAAGAGACGTAGACAACAGCGTAGTCTGGATGAGTGGTGTATGGAAAATTTCTCCCCCCCAATAAATGTACTGCATCCGCCCCTGATGAGTCACCAAAACCAAGAATGTCACCAGACCCTTTTCCTCTCCTGAGGGCAGGGTCTAGGCAGAGACTAGCATTCCCTACATGCTTTTCTAGCCCATCCTTTATTCCCCCCACTGGAGCAGGTATCTGTATGACAGTGGGGGCTATGGGGAGGAGGACAGCAGAGGGAACAATGTGCTCCACTATGCAGCAGCCAGTGACTCTGCCCAGCTACTCCTCTGGCTGCTCAGTATCCATGACTTCAAGGCTCTCATTGACTCTCCCAACAATGTGGGTCACTGTCTTATCCTGTGCTAGGAGAGGGCTTTCATTTGGGAAAGACAAATTGCACTTTGTGTTGTTAGCCTAATCTGTGGTTGCAGTCTGCTACCCACATTAAAATCCAGCCAGATGTGTGTGTATGTACTAAATTATGTACATTTGGATGCCATGGGTATCTGCTTAAATAAGCAGATATTGATGTGTGTAAAGTATTTAGCGCCAAGTATTATAACCCCTATATAAATTCTTATGGACTTATGGAGGCTCTGGACACATGTATGTGTCTGTGGCTGGTTAAGTGTTAATTTTGTTTCAATCACTAAGCAACTGGCCTGTATGGTATGGAGGGGGATGCTGTACTACTAACAACCACTTTTATCTGACAGTTGTTTGCTATTAGCAAGCAACCGACTTGCAAGAATGGTAGTGTAGTGCCAGGTTAATTTTCAGTATGCCTATCATGACATGATATTTTTTTGTTTTTGTTTTTCTTGTTGTTGCTGTTTATGTTCCAGGAAGGCCACACCCCACTGCACCATGCCTGTGCCCTGGGCTGTACCAACTCTCTCTCTGCCCTCCTCCACCACAACGTCATCGTGTCCTCCCTCACTCCTTCCACCACCCACCTCCTGCACCCCTCCTCCTCCTCACACCCTCACACACTCTCACACTCTGAGGTATCTAAAAGTGTATTGCAATTGCTTGTCACACCACGTTCACAAGGGAATCAGCAGTGCTGGCGCAAGAGTGCCCCAGGGGGACATTAGTCCCTCTATCTCTTCATTTGTCCCCTGAATATGCTTCACAGGGGACACTTGAAGTCCCTACTGTAGGTTATCTCTTAATGTGACACAGTAGTACAACATCATAACTTGTGCTGTGTAATAATATCTCATTGCTCTGTCCTCCTCCCTTCTCCTCTCTCCTGGTGGTATGCAGGTGGCCCGACAGCTGGGTAACAGTAGGTGCTATGAGATAGTTGCCGACTCTGCCACTCCCCCACCCCTCCCTCGTGTCCCCACCTCTACCCCCTTCAACAGAGAAGGTATATACTCACGCAATTAATGCAAGAAACACACAAAGTGGCTAAGTGGGAATCACAGTTTGGGAAACAACTGACATCTTCCAACCTCTTTATTACCGAGCGCGTTAGCGTGAGGAAACTACTCCGGGTTGTATTCTTGCGATATGCGTACGTATGTACGTGTCGGTCATGCTTAAGAATGTCAATTAGTCACGCTTAGGAATGTCAACGTCCGTCATTCGTAAGAAGTCTAGCTTCCGCCGTGCGTGCAGATTCGTAGGAAGTCTGGGCTTCGCGCGCAGTCAGTAGAGTGCGCGCACCATCGCGTGCGCATTCCTAGTAGAATCCTTGTGTTACAGTATGTCTATGTAAGTATGCTTTGAAGTCTTCAGTGTGCATTCTTGTGTGCAAGTATTGCAGCACTCAACCCATCCCCTATACAACCCTGAGGTCATCATAATAGTTTGTCTGCTGCGGATGTACACAAGAGGCCAATAAAGGGATTTCTTTCATGTTGTTTCAATAAAACCTATATAAAGAAAAGCACTGAAGTGCAAACCCTCGGCGCATTGTGACGCGCACGCGTAAGTAAACTCATGCGCCGTACCACTAATTGATGGACTGGGTTTAGTTTTAGCTGTTACTCGTGGTCTCTTGACAGCTTGCGCAGAGTCTGGCGCGGGCTAACTACACTACTAGATAGCATGCGAGAGGCGATACACGCCCTGCATCGCATCTTCTGGTGCCTCCGAGGTACGCAGAGCACGCGGATCGATCAGACCGTGGTAAGCCGTCCCGTCAGTTGTGTTTTCCATATTGGCTTTTTCGCGCTCTAGCTTTGCAACGGAGCAGTTTCAGAGAAAACCGTTCGAAATTGCTGACCTTCATTGCCCGTTAAGTAGGTCATATCCTTTGTGAGATGAACAAACACTTGAGAAGTCAGATGTAGAGTAACGGACACACAGACCCAACTACCGTACCCTCGCTTCGCATGGTAACAATGTGCAAAATAGCATATCCCCATTCTCTTTCCCTCTCCACCCCTCTTACTTCTTTCACCCGTCTTCTCTTCCTCTCCCTTTTCCCACCCCTCCCACCTTGCCCAGTGTTCTACCACCAACATTATAAGCATGTGTGTAGAGGGAAGAGGGAGAGCCTTTGATCAAGGCTAATGTAACTATACTCTAAACCCGCAGGGTCCCAGGTCTCAGAGGATGTACTGAGACAGACTAAGTCTGCTGCCTTGTTCCCTCCTCTGCGGAGCAACAGCTCAGGGTCGCGAGGGTCACGTCTCTCTTTACTCCCCACGACATCTCTTCAGGTACAACACTAACCTTATGATGGTAGCATCCAGGGTGACCCCTACAATACCAGGATACTTTGAGGGAGAATTCACTATTTTAGAGCTACGAAACAACATTTCCCCATGTGTGGACCATATGTGCGTTGGCATTCTGAAACCCATGGCATGCATCCCCATGTACGTACATATTTACATTGTGAGTAAATTCTGAACGAACAGAGAACAGAAGCTCAACGATACAAACAAAACCAAATTGGACATGTGTTTTTGAGTTTTCTGAAATGAAAACACTGACCTTTCTGCCACCTGTGTCCCCTCCAGCGTAGAGGATCTCTGGTGGGAGCATCTCGTCCAGTGACCCTTGAACTCCGTCGCAGCTCCTCCCTGAGACGAGGCTCCTCGGACTCTCTCCTGAAGCGGGGGGTGTCGGAGGACGACAGGAGGACTTACCTCCAGAGTCGGAGCAGTGCCCACAGACTGTGCCGGACCCTCAGTCGCCAGAGCAGCTCCAGTGTGGAGCAACTCCTCTATGATAGCAGTATGTTGTTGCCTTATGAGGCGAATTCTGTTTCCACTACTACCATGCACAGAGTTCTTTGACTTCGTAGTATATAACTAAGATTTTAGTTATGTGCACTGAGCTGCCTTAATACTGCACAGTTAATACTAGCAGAGGGACACAAGCACTATTTTTTGTAATCCAGGACTTACCTAGCTATTACTGTAGTACTTCCACATTTAAAATTGAGTTTAAACAACCTTGAACCCTCTCTGATGCTTGTGGCAATCCAGTACAGTATGTTGCAACTGGTGATAATATTCATCACCAGAGACTTTAGAACTTGGAGACAAAACATGTGAATTCATCAAACCATACTTTCTGCGTTTGGCCCACCCTAGAAGAGCCTGCCTATAAGAAAACTGCATTCACTGGCCACCTGCAAAATAAGGCTACTTTTTTCATTATGATCATCCGAATGCCATATGTATGTTTGTAAACAACAACAAATAGCCCCAGACACTTAATTACTTCCTCACGGCTCGAAATTGTTAACAATAGGCTGCATCGTAGTACACACATGTATTTTACAAGACGGTCAGTTTAATTTCTATAGGGGCTAGCCCAGATGAAGGTGAGACATTCACTATTATGTATGTGTTTCAGCAGGAGCTATATTTTCAAACGACAGGTGACAATGATGTTGTACCTAAAGGAGTAAAAAATCCCACCCTATGATGCAACCACCACCTGCATGCATATCTTTCTCTGCTACTACCATGCATAAAGTTGTTTGTCATGGCCTGTGTGTAAGTATACTGAGCTGCCTTAATAGCCCAGTGCATGTTGAGAGCTGATGGCACAGTTACTCGTAGAGTTACACTCACTCACTTGCCACAGAAGCACAGTATACATAGTGCTCAAGAATTTGATGTTAGGATCCTTGGAGCCCGGTCAAATTCTGGTAGCACTACATGCATAAGGCTTCTCATGTGTGATTAAGATTTGACAACACTCGTAGTTGAACATATTGCAGCTTGTTTCGTTGGCAACAATTGTTTTAATATTCATGACCGAAGATTTCAGACAAAACATGTGAACACACATTCTTTTCCTGTGTGTGGCCCACCCCCTTGATGCAACAAATGTACTCCATACAGTAGAGCCTGCTCAAAAACATGCATCCAACTGCCACTTGCCTTGAATTGCCACTGCTGTAGGCTCTGCAACTGTGTTGAACATGCTCATTAACCCTCGGCGCGCATGCGCAGCGAGGGTTACAGTAGTTGGGTCTGTCTGTCTGTGTCTGTTACTCTTCATCTCACTTCTCGAGTGTTCTTTCGTCTCACAAAGGATACCATCTACCCAACGGGCGATGAAAGGTCAGAAAATTTGTGGGGTTTTCTCTGAAACTGCTCCGTTGCAAAGCTAGAGCGCGAAAAAGCCAATATGCAAATACGAAACGGACGGGATGGCTTACCGCGGTCTGATCGATCCGCGTGCTCTGCGTACCTCTGAGGCACCAGAAGATGCAACGCAGGGTGTGTATCGCCTCTCGTATGCTATCTAGTAGTGTAGTTAGCCCGCGTCAGACTCTGCGCGAGCCTGCAAGAGACCACGAGTAACAGCTAAAACTAAACCCAGCCCATCAATTAGTGGTCCGGCACATGCGTTTACTTACGCGTGCGCGTCACAATGCGCCGAGGGTTTGCACTTCAGTGCTTTTCATTTGTACATGTTCCAACTTGCACTGTATCGAGCACAGCAATCGTATGGCACATGCAACAAGTCACAAGTGATTTCAAACAAGGAAGAGTATGTCTATAATTATGTTATTTCGTTTTTGAGCCTTTCGACTTGAAGATGAACAAAAATCCCTATCACAGCCTTATTGATGTATGATACTAGGTGTGTACCATGCCCATCCCTATACACCAAGAGTAAACCATACTTAGCGTTTTCTCATGAGGCCCTGCAGTGTTCCACGCGGAAGTAGTGGATTCTCTAGAGATTAGGCACAGACTCGTGCTTAATAGAGACTTAGGTGTTTTATAATAACCATCTCTCTATTGCTGTTGCTTGGCAGTAGATAGTCACTCTTGACCATGACTAATGTTAGAAGTGTTGTGTATTCTCCCTCTCTCGCCTCTCCCTCCCTCCCCTCGCCCCAGCTGCCTATGAGCCACCACCAGACATTCTCTTCACCCTCCCTGTGAACAAAAAGGTTCTCACATCACGTAGTTGTAAGGCCTACTCCTCAGAGCATGGACTGAAGCTGCGGGTCTCGAAGGACTACTGGAGTGGGGAGAACAAGTCTCATGGTCTGCATGTCTGCATGGGTGCTGCCATGCACTACAGCCAGACATTTCCTCAGGTTTGTGCTGTATACACTTACATGAGTACACAGTGCAGTTGTATTAGCCCTCATTCCCAAGCCCTCTCTCTCCGCGTACAATTTTTGTATTTGACCTTTACCCCAAGAGTTTAAAGGTCATACACAAAAATTTACGTGGAGAGAGAGGGCCTGGGAACGAGGCTACAGTGGTACACAACATCAGCTATTTGGCTAACAGTTTGTGTGTAGATGTGGGGGCAAGGTGTCTATGGAGGACATGATTACTGACATGATTACAAGCATGTGGAGATGAACAAAAAGCTCTGTGCATATACATTATAGGGGTAATGCTATGATAATACATTATTACACTGGCCATGTAGTACATAACTCATACACCCGCTTGGCATAAGCGTGAAATGTAAAACTAAATTCAGTAAAGCTGCAAATCAAGCTACTGAAGGGTGGCGGACTGTTCATGTACAATGTAAACAGCAGTTTGTTCTATTGCACAAAAACATCTCTCCTCCTCCTCATCCTACAGGGCTATACAGTGGTCAGTCCCATATGTTTCGTCAGCTGTCGCTCCAGAGGTCCTTGTCGTGTTAGTCTCACCTTCCCTCATGCCCTGGACGCCACACCAGACACCACGACACCCTCACGGCTAGTCATCCTCTCCTCCGCCACGGCCAAGGTCGATGCCGGCTCCCAGGGCCCCTTCTTCTCCCCGAGTGAGCGAGTCCTGGACCCGCTGGACGATATTGACTTCAAGGTTGACAGGGGACTTGCCAGGTTTCAGACAGAGCTGTGTCACCCCTCTCTGTTTGCGGTGGCAGTCCGGGACACTCCCGGCTCCATCCCACTGCCACTGAGGTGCTGTCTGTATGTGCTCTATCCTGTCATTGAGCCCACGGTATCCATGGTGACCGGCTTCGACGTTGAGGCATATGTGGGGATGAACATTCCAACTGTTGCCACGGTTAGTCCATTTTAAGTAATCTCATTCTTCTTTCCGCTGTGTTTCACTAATGTATATGTAGAGTAATATACTGTGTATGTCAACAACAAGGTCAACGCAAAGCAAGGGCAAACAAATCAACACATTTTTATCCAAGGAAAAAAGGAAGAGCTCCCCTGTCCAACCAATGACACTGCAGTCTAGGCGAGTGCGCTTCTAACGGAGCTACCAGCTGGCAGTGGTTTGATAACACGATACAACACAAGGCAAAGGAAAACCTCAAACCACTGGGCTGGCTGTCAGTTAGCGCTGACATTGTACCAGTATCAGAGCACACACACCAGTGTTGATATTTTGGAATTTTTGTATGGACAAAGTAGTCATTCATTCCTCCACCAATAGGCGGTGATGTCGTGGGCGGAGCAGCATGACCTGAAAATGGAGGAGACTCATTTCGTCATGTCAGGAGAGCATGTGACAGTGTCGGCTGACCTCCTCCCGCCACATCAGACTGACTGGGACGTCAGCCGCAGGGGAGACGGAAAGGTTTGTGGCACTTACACTTCAAACAAATGTCAAGCACAGTACCATGCCTCGTCTACATGCAATTTTTGCATGCAAGTTTGAGAATGTTTCATATGGCTTTCTGCGGCACTGGCTCTTTGCCAGTTATGCAATAAGCTCATGTGCTCGTCGCCAAAGAATGGTAAGTGAAAACTCAACAAACCATGTTCGATTATTAAACTGTTTCCTAATTTTGAAGCAAATGGCCCCTGTGTAGGTAGCCCATGTCCCATTGCCTTGTGTTTTAGGTGTACATTATGTAAACATTGACTGTAAGAATAATATCCCCAATGCAACTTAGTTCCGTGAGACAAAGTTGCATGCATCTTACAATGTATTGGTATGATAAGTCTATTTCATGCAACGTGGTTGCATGGTCCATGACATTTTAAGTTGTGTACAAGTTTTTCTCACAAACTTCGTGTATCATGACCTTTATATAGAATGTGTACTTTGAACTTTTTTATCAGGCGTCATGATGTGCTTTTCTGTGTCTGTGCAGTTCCTGTACAACCAGGTGTCCCTGACGCAGCACACAGACAGAGACTCCTACAGCCACCAGCTGGTATATCCTCACAGAGAACGCTTCTTCATCGAGCCCAAGTCAGCCGCCAGTGCTGTCAAGTGCAGGATTAGTGTGTCCAACAGCATCCGAGAACTGTCCTACCTTCTTGTCATCCCCTTCTCTCCTAAGAAAGGTACACATGGACAGTATAATGAAGTCAATGGTATAACGTTATTGGATTCACTCCTGGAGCAAAAGGGTTGTACACATGGTGAAACAGTTTGCTTTATGCACAGTATATAACTATATACTCCCAAATGTTGGTGCATAATATACACATGGTGAAACAGAATGCTTCATGTATATATATATACAGTGCTAATGAGTATGTACTGCCAACTATTTTGCATTGGCACTAGAGCAAATTAAAAGGGTTGTACGTGCAGCAGAATAGTCTCCCTCCTATCCATTCTACAGAGGCAACACCGGACCTGGCATCTCCAGAGCACCGCCACTCCCTCCCCCTCTCCTCCCACCCTCTCCCTCCCAATCGCAGATACTCCCTCCCTTATCCCTCCTCCTCTCGCAGCTCATTCAGAGTAGTGTCTCCCACACACACACCGTCTCACTTCCCACAAGTTCTCCTCACCCAAACCTTACCTATGGCCTCTCCACCATACCACAGCTTATCGCCTCACTCCTCTTCGGCCAGACCTGACTCCTCACGACACTCACCCCCTCCCCCTTCTACTGGCAGACCAATATCTGATACCTCGTATCCTGCACCCTCTGCTACTGTTAGTCACTCGCCCCCTCCCCTCTCTTCTGGCGCTACCACAGCTCCTAGTCGCTCACCCCTTCTCCCCTCTGCTACTTTTCTTGAACACTCACCCAGTCCCTCTTCTGCCATGACCATTGCTGGTCGCTCATCGCCCCGTCGCACAGTTGTTGGTACCCTTCCCAACCGTTCTCCTGTACTCTATCTTCCAAATGGAGCCCACCATCACTCTGAATCTCAAGTGTAACATTTTTACTGTCAAGGTCTTATGTACAGAGAGTAAAATAATATTATTATCTTAAATATTGATTTATGCTGACATTTGTACAGAGTATTTATACACTTATGCTGATTTAGCATGGCTTTTTCTAGCATGATTTTTGGAAATCCTGCTCATGACTGTCTCATAAAGCAATGCCTGCATGTACGTGGCAAGTGATGAAAGTGTAAACAGTCGTCGGCTCTGATGTGGAGGGCAATGTACCTGCATGACCTGTATGGTTGTACATAGTGTACTAGGAGTGTATAATAATACTCCAAACTGACAGAACATAATACAGCAGCAGAACATTCACTCCTGACTGACTCGCGCTTTGTGTCAAAGGTTTGCGTTGGTTGTATACTGCAGTGGAATTGATATTAAACTGAAGCAGCTTATCATCATGCATGTACGTATGCCATGACACAATGCAGTTTGACGCAAGACTAAATGTATTCTAGTGTATTGCCGTGTTCACACAACTATAATGGAGTTGTGAAAAAAGCAAAACGATGCAATGCACACAAAGCTTTACCCACTTACAGTTATGTACGTAATAAATGCATCTGAAAGAGAAAATCTGCAGAATTATAATTATACAAAATGCCATGACAAGTTCGACACATAATATCAGTACAGAGGACCTCTACTACATGGTGGGTGATGGTAGCTAGAGTAAACTGAGGTCCATGTCTCTGGAGGGAGGTTTAGGCAGCGGTGTGCTTTTCCCATTGCTTTCATGAGGAGGATCTCCACTGGTCTCTGGGGCTGTCGGCACCTCTGCCTTCTCCCAGTAACCAAAGTCAACCTCCTCCTCACCCTCCTCCTCCTTCCCCCCTCCACCACCCTCCCCACTATCACCAGTACCCACACTCATAGGCTCAGGAGCTACAGAGGACAAACGAATATACAGTTTCACTCTCATGGAAAACTTTGTGGTGCCTTATACCACTGGGCCCAACACAATGTCATACAGTACATATATAGTAAGCATACATGTACATCAACACCCATAAGGATTAGGGCTTTGCCTCAAAGTGGAACAAGTGGAAAAATCATTTGAAAGGGGATGTAGGGATGTCACATCATGAAAAAGAAGGGGAAGAAGAAGATGCCTACACCAGGACAGAAAGTCATTCATAACCTCATCCCTACATCTTTGTATGCTCATGCATTTATGACCAGCAACACAAAGATGTAGGGATGGGGTTATGAATGATTATTACCTTTACTACTGGTGATGGAGAGCTGGCGAGCCTTCACACTCTCCAAGAATTGATCAAAGTCGTCTTCTTCTTGCACAGACGAACCACTGGGAGAATACAGTTTTGAGTACAGCATTAGTTATATACCTCTCAACTAGTTGATACTCTATTTTGGTGCAAAATTACGTAGTGCTGTTTGTACAAACATGTGGAGGATGGTATATGTCTGCCAGCAATGGATAGGTTCCTCAGTCGCCATGTGTCGCATAGATAGACTGTATATTTATAGTCACATATTTATGTTGGATAATCTATTTTTAACATTTCTATTTCTACCATTTTTACTATTATTTAGACGTGTATATGCTGTGCGTTACTTAAAGTAATCGACAGAACTATTAATCTTATTTTAGAAGTTCTATTTTTCAATTTTTTATACTTTTCTATATGCTGTGCGTTATTTAGAGTAATCGTACGTTTTTTTATTTCTCCGTCGTGTCGCCGTGCTGCGTGAGTTTCAGAGTTTTAATATTTTTCTATGAGTTTATTGGTCCTTTGAGGCTTTCTATTTTTCTACCGGCTGTTGTTTTTATCCTGTAGCTGTGTTTTTGTACATGATTTCTATCTATTATTCGTGTAAGGGAGGTTGGGACACTGGGTGTGTAGGGAGAGTTGGGCCCATAAAATACTCTTTAACCTACTGCCCCAGTTCTCAAGGCTGGGCACCCAGGGTTCTGCCTTTTTCTTTCTGTTTATGTTATTGTCAGTGTTTTTGTATGCTTGGGTATGTTATTGTCTGTGTTTTGTGTGCTTGGGTGGGGGAGGTTCTTTCTTTTCCTCTGATATTATTCTTTTAGCTAGTATGCTATAAACATGTTTTTTCATGCCCTGGTGGGTTTGTTGTGCTTGTGTGCAAATGTGTTGTGTGTGTGGTGTGTGTGGGGGGCGGGGTTATGCTTTCTTCTCTGTTATGATAAGATGCAAGGCTACCCACATTGAACCAATCGACTGTTGTTGGTCAAAATCTCCACGGACCTCCATTGCTAACCTGGCACACAGACTCAATCAAATGTCTATGACAATACACGCCCACATCTTACTTCTGTATGCCTGGCATACCTCATGAGTTGAGAAACGGAAGGTAAATGAGGGAGGGAGGATGAGGTGGGTGTGGCCCTTGGCTGGTGATGGATGACCACGTCAGGTTGAGACACTGGCTGTCTCTCTACCTCCACTGACACCTACAGACACACACGCACCACCAGTGACTGATAGTCAGAGACACTGGCTGTCTCTCTACCTCCACTGACACCTACAGACACACACGCACCACCAGTGACTGATAGGCAGAGACACTGGCTGTCTCTCTACCTCCACTGACACCTACAGACACACACACACCACCAGTGACTGATAGTCAGAGACACTGGCTGTCTCCACTGACACCTACAGACACACACGTGGCTTACATTGTACCCTACATCTAACTTCCACAACAAAAACCTAAACCTTTGCCAAGAATTATTTCTGTTCTAGTCTGCCATGCATGCCATCCAACATTGTTCATGAAGCATAGGAATGTAAGACATTTTTGGCGAGCGAAGCGAGCATTTAAACATTTCGTGCTTTGTAGCGCATATTTAGAACATTTCAGTATGTTGCTCTGTGGGTCTGTTGACCGTTAAATACGAAATATTCCTCATTTCGACGCCTAGGTGGGCTTGCTTCGCTCGCCAATTATTTGCAACAGTTGAGATGTGTAGAAGCCAACAGGATTTGCATGTTGCAGGCAAACACAAGTCTCTTGTAACTTCAAAGTATGGTCCATTAAGGTGGCTTGTATTGTGCAGAATGTGAACCCCATCATGCTCATACACTGGAAAGTTGTGAGAGACGTAACCATGCACATACTTGGAGAGATGTAGAAGAGAGCATTCTTGTTCTTCTGACATACTCTCTTTTAGCTGAATAGTACGCCTGTGCAATTTGTAAAGGAGAGATATTATTGTGGTAACTCTGGAACACAGGGGTTCAAAGGGGTGCCCCCTTAATCAACTCTTGCCCCCTTTGCATGGAGGTGAAGTGAACCTCCTACATTGCTCAAAGACACACAGGGTTCATAAAATATGCATTTTGCCTCTTCCCTTGGATCAACCTCTAAAAGGCTACATAATCAAATGTACCTCTTCCTCTTGCCGTAGCTTTTCTTCCTGCCTCCGCAGCTGTAAAGAGGACAGTAGGAAAACACAACACACACACAACAGTATAACAACTACAACAGCAGGGAATTGAGGATTAATTAATGTGTCCAGAGCATTTATATGGGGGTTATGATACTAGGCGCTAATACACCTTATACAATTTCTGCTGTGAGTAGACACCCATGGCGTCCAAAGGGTTAAGTCTCCTTTCAATGTCAATTATAAATACCGTTGGACTTACACATACAAATGCATCTCGGCTCTGCACACAAAATGTCGGGAGAACACTTTGCCAAGGCTTTGACACATGAAGCTTGCAAAAGTGCTCTCCTTGAAGTATTCACCACAAGTTTGTACATAGCTGCAGTGTACATTAAAATACCTCTGCATCTCTCTCGGCATCAATCCTGCGCTGTTCCTCGACCAGCTGGTCAAACTTGCCGGACCTCAGCAGCTCTCGCTCTGCCTCCGTCACCAACTGCTTCTTGGCGTGCACTGCACCCTACATGTACATGTGCACACACAGAGCAAGACATCATCATCACTGCAGCTGAAACATATCACACACGTAGCATAATAACACCGTTTGTACGTGTCTAGTACACACCGTCTACCATGTATAATAACAGCCGACACTTTTTAAAGAAACAAGAAAGGAAAAAAAGAGTAGGAATAACATGACATTGTACACCTCTACTACATATAGATGCAGAAAGAAACATCTGCTCCGTTGTACAACATCTCCCTACACCAGAAAGTCATGACGTCACCAAGGGCTAGGGTGTCGATACATGATGTATCCTGGAATTGACTATGTAGGACCTGGAATGGAATGCACTATAAGTCCAACCCATGGATCAACCAGGGTGTGAACCACTGAAACCAGGGACGTATGAGACAGCTCCCAGGATGACCATGTTTTCACAATAAACACATGTGGTATGCATGCGGTACAAAATAGGTACACACACACTTACAGCTCTGTTTTCAGCAGTCACAATATCTTCAAACTCTATTGTGTCACTCTCAGAAGCTCTGTACCGTGTGCTGAAGTGTTTACAGGTCCAGGGCAACACGACAACCATAAGAAATTGAGATGAGAAAGGGAAGGAGAAAGTAGAACATCCACACCAACACCAGTAAGCAAAGTTTCACTCACAGATCTTCCTTAGGTTTGCCCCAAACACATCTAGTCACGGCTGAGAAGCAGCCACCTCTATTTCCACGCACCATCGCCCGATCCATGACGCTCTATTAGGAAGAAGCGAGCCAGAAATCCCACTCTCTCTGCCGTCGAAATTCTAAATAACGCGCTAACTCGTGATTTCCGTGTTTATCCGTATACTAACCTCTTTGTGAACGGTTGTTTGGCGGGAGTTTTGAGTCATGGCCAGTCAGAGCGAGCTCTACAAGCACCTATGGGAGCCTAAAAAGACGTGAGATAATGTGCAAAAGTAATGAAACACGAATACCTCAATATTGAGATGCATAATAATGACGTGGTGAAGACTGAGTGACTTTCTTTACAGAACAAGAGACTGGGGCACTACTGAGTATCGTATCATCAGAACCTGGACCCCTAGAGCACCTCCTAGCATTGACCAATCAGAGGCAGGGCAGTCACACTACAATCAGCCTGACTCCCCACACTATGAACCAGGAGGTGGCAGTGATAGCGGGGGAGAGATGGAGGTTTGAGCCTATACCGAGGACGTACTGCTACTGCTTTGCAGAGTCTATCAATTACCAATTATGTTTGCGAGTTTTTAGCCGTGTTTTTCATTCGTGATACTCATGTGCAGACGTGAAGTGTAAGACATAGGAAAAAGGCATGGAAAAAGACACAACAGCCTGCTTCATGAGATTACATACATATGTAGCTGGACATTTTTGTTCTGCACCATTATCTGCTAGTACTAGGCTGTGTCACTGAGTAAACTCTGTATTCATATACAGGAGGAGGAAGGGGCATATCTGGGCACCCCATCGTCCTCCCTGCAGTCTCTCCAGAGAGGACTTCCACCCACTGCAGCTGGAGAGAGTAATGGACGTACCACTGAGACTACGGAGGCTACCACTGAGACTTTTGAGACTACGAGAAATACCAAAGAGACCACAGAGGCTACTAGAAATACCAAAGAGACTACAGAGGCTACTAGAAATACCACAGAGGCTACCAATGAGACTACGGAGGCTACTAAACATACCTCTGTGGAGACTGTTAGTCTGAGCATTAGGATGGGCCCAGTTGCTGCTGTGTGGGAAGGAGTGCAGAGGTCAACCAGAAGGTTGCGTCCCCGACCCCACCAGGATTCTGATGAGGCTGAGATTAAGGGGCAGGAGGAAGAGAAGGATGCAACTAATGAAAGCAGTGAGAATGAAGACCCGCAGCCCACCACTGTGACGGTAAAATCATCTGGACACAAGTCCCAACATGTCCCACCTAGTCTCCAGAAGACTCCACAGCCTGCCACTGGTGGTGGTGCTAGAGCAGCACCTGCTATCCTAGCTTCAGAGACAGATACTGGAACTGAGTCCGATCCAGAGAGTGAGTTTTAATTCATGTCAACTTCAGAATTTTTGTGATAGTCCGCATGTCTATTTTCTGTGCGTTTTGGATATATTAGTAACATAACCCAAAACTAAATAGCAATATTTTTCCAGATGTGATGGATAGACTTCCTGAATCGCAAAAGGCTACCAGAAAAGGTAGAAAGAGAGCATCTGCCAAATCATGTGAGTATGCAGCTATGTTCTAGTGGGTGTCATATGCGGTTGTTATGTACTGCAGCTCAGTTCACACTGTGGCTATCGGCTTACCAGAGAACTGGTAGAGATCTCAACGAGCTGGACATCTGTCTCTCCACCTACGACTCTTTCATGAGAGAGGCCATGTAAGTATACCCCCCACTGATATCACATAATCATGGTGTAAACTTACTTTTACTTGTTAGAGAGGTTGAGTTTGCACAGAATCTTCTGTCAGTTATCCATATCACTTGGTGGATTGGAATTGGTATTACATAATTACATATCTCCTTATATCCACCCCTCAAGTACGATATTAACGGTCCCAGCCTGCCTTTATTTTAAGGTTCACCTGACCACTGTGTATGTGCACGGTGTTTGTGTACTATGGACACTTTGCGATTTATTATGACTCCAAGAAAGGTAGTTGTAGTTATCGCTTGGGGAAATCACCTAGCTTTTCACTTCTTTTACTGTAAGTTGCCAATTTGGGAGTGTAAGAGTGAAAACATCAGATCAAACTCTGAAGTCTATTCGAGCCCTGGAAGTGGTTGTGTAAAGTGTATACATGCTTTAACTTTTTGGCATAATATGGGACATGCAGCAAACTATTGACTGATAAGGCTTCATGGATACTATCAGCTGGAAAGTTGCGAGGATTCCAATTGTGTTAGCGTTTTACAATTGGATGTAAAATAAAAAAGTTATGACAATTTTTCGAGGGCTCGGGTGAAGTCAAGTATAATTATACCTTCTCTATGTATGCACATTATGTAGACAAGATGAGGGTGATGCTGAAGTACAGAGGGCTATGGTCCGACATTGGAAGCTCACCCGGAAACACATGCTCTCCACTGTACGTTTCTGCATAATACATGTACAGTACATATGTAGTGTGCGACTGACTCTTACATACATGTCCACGTCATTTACAACAGATTAGAGATATTTCTGCTGTGTCAGCTCTTGAGAAAAGACACCGTCAGGTATGTGCAATTATGGGCTAATACATGTGTCACAATCCTTTGTGTGTGTGTGTTGTACCCCATGCACTCCCATCATTGTCCAGGAGGTGACCAAGAACAAAAAGTTGCAGAAAGAGAGTGCACTCATGATCAGTAGACTAAGAAAGTACGGAAAACTGGTTGTGAAATCGTGTTTGCACAACAATTTTTAGGATAAAAACTTTAACATTACTCTGTTGGTAATAATAGCCATAACCTGGTCACCTATCCTCCTTGGACCATTGTGCCCTATGTTAGGCACACAGTTGCATTCTCCTTAAAATTTCCCCCCTCTGCCGACCATGTTTGCAATGTATAATAGTTTTTAATGGAAACTGTTAGTGTAGGAGACTGTCTATTTTCTATGCCAGAGTGAATGGTCAGCACCTAAAAGTGATATCCAAGGCTAAACAGACAAGAGAAACACATAAGGTAGGTATCTGTCACACAGGTAGCTATTTTTATCAGCTCATGTTGCATATCATGTATGGTATCGGGTGGTCCTCTCTGATGTAATGTTATCCTCTCTTATTATGTAGCTGGGTGTTGAGCAAGCAGAGATTGAGGAACTGTCCTGCAAAATTTCAGCTTATGTTGCCAGACAGAAGTGACTTTCTCGTGCACATCCCTTTATTTAGCGGACTTTTCTGGATTGCTTTTCCAGCAATAATATTGTCCCCATTTAAATTTCATGCTTATATGACCAAAAAAACAGCGAAATTCGTGAAAGTTTTCTCCCTCGAAAGTCACCTAAACAGTACTGTGCTTCCATTGCGTAACATTACGTAATCACCATTGTGACACAAGTCGCGCATGCGCTCCGGAATTGTGTATCGAGACCCGACCGGTGCTGGGCCTCGGGTGGTACAAATAAGAGGGTCGCGAGTATCATGCTTTCTGCACTCAAGACGAAGCGAAGCTGTGCAATTCTTTAGTCTGTGTATACAACTCTTGGAAAACGGAAGGATTCTGCGGGAGGATGGCAATCCCGCTAGTGTATCTTGTAATGCTCGGTGCAGCAGCCATCGTCCTACAGCCTACTAAGGGGACTGTGTCCGAGAGCCCCTGGTCCTACCTGCAGGTGTATCCGGAGGTCGATGAGAACGATGGTCGGACGCCGCTATACTTTGCCCTCATGCTTTCGTTTGGTGGCGATTACACCACGATCGGTGCATTGCCTGCAGTCCAGATAGCACTGGACTACATCAACAGGGAACCCTCCATCCTCCCTGGATACAGTCTTCACTACACCCTCACAGACTCCCAGGTATATTTATGCAAAGATGATACTACACATGGAATGTAGCTGGTCATGATTTCATGCCTGCCTAGGGCAGGGATACACAAACAATAAGGTGATATAATTTTTTTTGGATTCGAGTTGACTGCTTCATGAATTGTTCTGGCATAGCTAGTAGCGATGATCTCATTTGAGCCAGCATATCCGAACCAGTAAGTAAGAGTTCCCCACTGCATATGTTTTGGCTTTGGGTTTGCTCATTGTGACTTGTTCCTTGGAGACAGCTCCCAGTAGTTTGCTGTGATAAACGGCCAGATGCTTATGCAAAGTAACATTGTGTGAACCACGGTGAAAATAATTATAAAGAGCATGCTGTGCAAATACCACTCAAACGAGGCACAGTAATCCTGTCACTTATAAGTAAGGGAGTGCAACGACTTCCCCTGTTATAATAAATTTAACTTCCCTCTGTTATAAAAAAAATCAGTATATACTTTTAATTAGAGCATGTGCATAATTATTAATCAGGGGTATTGCTGTGGTGTACAACAAGCAGGCTAGTTTTTATGCTAGTTTTTTTGCAGCATTGTATATTGTAGTTGAAATGAACGCTGTCTTAGTTCTGTAGAAGTTGATATATAGTAATTGTCAATTCTCGCACAGTTAACACTATTGGTGTACTTACATTTCTTGTAGTACTGTCTTTGTGTGAAATCGTGCTATGTTCTCTCTGTGCTCGCAGTGTAGTCGACCCACGGCACTCAAGTCATTCTTCCATCAGATCAACTCTGACCCGCCTAAAGTAGGGTGGGTGGGGTCAGGCTGCTCTGTGGCCACCGAGCCAACTGCTGAGCTAACTCAGTTTTACAACCTCACTCAGGTGTGTATGTCTGTACTGGTGATGCATGGTGTGACTTAGTGCTATATACCGTGTCTCTCTTCATGTATAGCTCTCCTGTGTTTCATCATCATCGGCACTTTCGAACAGAATGAGATTCAGGTAAAGCATGTTTTTACTTAAAACACCAATATTTTTGATGCAATATGAGTTAGGCAATATAATAATGCACCAATCCATGGTTTGCCATGCTGGATTCCCTGCTGACTGGTACTTTAATGGTCAAAACGTGCCCGAGGAATGCAATTCTTACTGTCCCCTTGCAGCAAACCTACATTTTATTTTCAAAGACCTATCCCATGAGGAGAAATTTAAGTACAGTGAATAGCAATCACTCATGCAGGTTACATTACTAACGCGAATGCTATGCATTGTTGGCGAGGGAACATGCGAGTGTGAGTTTTTAGCAGCTTATGCGTACTTAGAATCACGTAAAGCATTATGAAAATAGTGACATTGTTACACATATTAATCCCAAATTCAAGCTATACTAATCTCGTTTATCTCACCAATTATTTGACTAACCTGTATAAGTACACAGGGTGTCAGAGATCACTTCTGTATAAACAGTGGCTGAGGGTGTTTGACACCAGTTGATATAGTGCATGGTCTATCAAATCAGCTGAGAGGTCTCTTCCAGAGCACCACACAAAATCGCAATCCTACACTCTCATAATCCGCGAAATTGTAAGACTAAACTTCAGAAACGAAAACATATTTCTTTTAGTCTTTCTGACCACATGGTGTAAACAACTCAACCTGACTAAGCTAGTACTCCCTGGAGTTCATACAAATTAGTGGCAAAGCTTTTTAGGGATGAATCCATAACCACAGACACTTGTTGCCTTACTCTGATGTCTGTATGGAGTGGGGTGTATGCTGTGTTGGGGAGGGCTGGCACATGGTGTCTATGCTTTGGTGTTTGAAGTAGTCATCTACTATAATTATCATTGGTTTATGAGTCCACTACATCACTAACTGTGCATTATCATGTACACAGATCAACGCTAGTTTCATGAGATTCCACTTGTAGCTAACTCTCTACACCAGATATACAGCATAGCACTTTGGATTGGGTGTTTTGTTTGTGCAAATGTTTGGCTGTCTCTTCTCCATTCAGTGATTCCATAGTTCATGTGCGGTAGAAACGGACACAGGCAGCAGACTTTAACTTTATTGCTTTTTTCTTTTACAACCTGTAAATAATTGAAGTAATAGGGGAAATGGCAATATGCCTATTCATGTTCTCCTTCATACCATATCAGCCATTTATTGAAGGATCACACCCTTCGCCTCGTTACTCAAACTTGATGGCTTGATGAGTGCCAAGAAACCTGTATGCTGCTGTCTGAACTATGTTGCTGGTATTATGGTGGTTTTGCAGGTGTGTTTATTTTCTTAAGATGCTCTCATTAACACCTTCTCTTCAGTGTTGACCAACATGGCATCCATTCCCTGTTACTGCTTCCATTGCTCTGACAATTGTGTCAAATAACTGGAACTAAAGTAGAGCATTGAAGGGGTTCTCATGGTGACAAAGATTTGTGGTCCACAATTGTTATGTGGGGACTATTGTGTATCCCTTTCCCTTGCAAGGTGCCTAAAACAAATTGGCGAAAACATAACAGTTGCTTGCTGTCTCGGTTTGTTAGCATACAAATTAGGCTCTATTTTGACTGGTGTATTGTTATATGGCCATTTTGTGAGTTGAAGGATTAGCTGCACAAATATGAATTTACATCCTTGTACTAATGTGCTGAAAGACATTGGCAATACTGGTGTGTCACTGTTGGCTCTGTGTCTGTTGGTATCAGTATGGGAATATTATCATGCCTCAAGATTCAGTGCAATTGTTGCCCTAGCGCTACAGCATGATTACCCAGTGGCCACTATTGTAAGTAGTAATGTGGAGGTAATCCATGGTTGGCCCAAGTGTAAATGTTCAAAAGTGGTACTTAGCCAGTACAACGTGCCAAACTATAGGCCCAGTGAGAATGTGTAATTGGTGAGTTAAACAACCCACCTGTTTGTGTATATTTTTCATCTCCGGTCTCCTCCCACACTTTGAGGGAGAGTGTTGTACATTTGTTTGAGCAGGTTGCCTTTGTCTCGTTCCACTGTGTGAGTAATATATGCGCAGGTGTAAATGCGATTGGTGTCGGTGTTTAAATGTACTCTATGTATCTGGTTGAAAAAGAACTAAATGGCACCACCTTATTGCCCCACTAAAATGGTTAGCAGAACTCTTAACGGTTGCATTTTGCAGAAATCAATGGTAACGGCATGCTAATCATGGTTAAATTATGTTTGGACATGCCCGTGCCCCTTGTTTTGTACCTGGGTATGCACATCACAATCTTCTCACTGAGGTGTGTGTGCACAGTACATTTAGTTGCCCTGGTAGCTATGTCAGTGAAAGATTTTAACCCCTAACTACATACTTAGTTGCCCTTGCAGCTGAACTGGTAGAGCGCTTGCCTAGACTACAGAGTGTCGTGGGTTCAAATCCCAGCCAGGGCAGCTAATTATTCGGAAGAAAGACCTGCCCTGGTTGATATTGTGGTGCTATACTTTGCTTTTACAATGTAGCCACCTCGTGTTTGACACACGGGATGGGCAAACACAATGTAGCCAGAGCACTTTGTCTATGAACTTGCTTATGTTGGCCTGAATATATTGTACGTCACATTAGTAGGTAGCTGCGTCACAGGTACTGTACTTTTGTCTGGGTTATTTAAGATTCACGTGTTCTTCATCAAAGCTGATTGTGGTTGTAGGCTTTGTTTGTTCTGCTGCGGTTTGCAATGAATAGCAAACACATGATATATCACTTACATACCTATTACATGCACACACACCCACACTTGTAGCTACTATTTCCAGCTTTTGGCAGATGAGGCGGGCATGGCACGGGGGTTCCTCGGCCTCATCAAGAGGTTCGGCTGGAAGAAAGTTGGAATCATCACTCAGAATGAGAACCTTTTTACCGCAGTGAGTTTAACACTTAACCAGCCACAGACACATAAATGTGTCCAGAGCCTCCATAAGTTCATAAGAATTTATGTGGGGGGTTATAATACTAGGCGCTAATACTTTATACATCAGTTTCTGCTTATTTAATGGTTAAATCTTTACTCATCTTGTTTTATTCTTTGAGTAAAACTGTGATTGTACTGATATGTATTTATGTATGAAGCCAGAGAACTCCTCGGTAGCTACATAACATTCTCTGTTACTTAGACAATGGATACCTTGAAGAAATATCTGGCGGACAATGACGTGGAATACCTGGAGAAAGTGTTTGCCACTTCCGAGAGCATCGGTGGACTTTTACCAAGTCCGTTTGTGAGTCACGCAAACCATTCGCTGCCACTGTCTACTGCTGCACCTTTAGGCTGGGTTCACAATACGCGACAGGGCAATGCAACTTATTTTGAACCCAGCCTTATACGTTACGATTTGTTTCTTACACTGTAATAGATAAATTTCTTTTGCATGATATAATTTCTCCCTCAGGAGCCAGATATCAGGATATATGTGGCTGCCATGTACAGCTATCATGCCAGAGCACTTGTTTGTGAGGTAAGTTATCGGTGAGGGATAGAAATACAAACTAAACCTGAGACGATTTACCACACACACCAACAACTTGGTTGTTTTCACCTATGTATGTGTATGTTATGGATGACCTACATGTTATGCTATGGAATGTTCACACATGATACAATGCATCAGTGAGGAATGCGTTAAAATTTTAATTTGCTTAACCAGCCTATTGCAAACTAATTTTACTGGCCTATGAAGTGGGCATTGAGATGCACATGCCTTGTATTGATATCCTATGATTCATGCATTTAGAATTAGGTGACTTTAGTGGTACATCAGTCTGCTCCTTTCATGTTAAGTAGTCCCATTCTAGCTGCCTTGCCATGTAGTGTATTGTGTAGTAGATTTCTAGCCCCTGCCTCCTAGGTTTGTGCAACCTTAAGAGCTGAGTCAATGGTTCAATTCTCATCCAGGCAAGCATTTTTAAAATTGGCAGGTGTAGTTGAATTGTCGGATACTTGTCTTGTGTTCGTGACAAATTCATTCACTTACTGTACGTTCGTTTTAATTGTGCAGGCTCACAAGCGAGGCATTGTGTACCCCAAGTACCAGTTGTTGGTCTATGGCTGGTACTCTGATGGCTGGTGGAGAGAGAGTGACCCTGAGAGACTGGACTGCACCCAGGACCAGCTCAACACTGCCCTCCACCACGCCATGGCCCCCATTCAGGCTGAGTTCTATTCCAACCTTTCCCTAGTCACCAAGAGTGGACTGGTAGGTGGAGATGGATAGGTTGCCAAACAGATGGATTTTCGTATGGGCAAGGTTCACAAGTACATTGATGATTTTCATATAGAGTTTAGGGAAGAAAATTGCCAGCACCCCCCTCCGAAAATTGCTCACTATAATAAAATTATTATGGTAGCCATCTAGCTACCCTTTTATGTCATTAGTTATTTTCCTGGAAAAAATATTGCTCGAAAGTCCAAAGTCATCAATTTATGAGTTGTTTTCGTGAGATATCTGCTATGTACCTTTTCTGTCAGTTTGTGTAAATTGCCCTCCCCATTAAAATTATACTATAGGGTGCATTTTATCACATTATGAGGGAACAAATCCAACAGTGATAACATGTACATTGCAATCCATTAGTTTTGTCTGGTGATCTTCTGTGTGTCTACCCAGACAGGGGCAGTGTATGAGGAGTTATACTGGCCCAAGGTCCACAGCCCCGCAAACCAGCCAATAGACCTGGCCAGTATTGTACTGGACACTCAAGACATATTTGCCTATGCCCAACACTGCCACGAGGCCACTCTAGCCCTGGCCATGGCTCTTCACAGAACCAGCACAGGTGACCTGCTCCTTTGTGCATTCATTATGGGGACTCTTAAAGCACTGATACACAATGCAAGTTTTGTTGTTGTAAACCCCATTTCTTAGCCTATTGGCAATGTAGCTAGGTCTTTTTTATATATAGTAACTGCCGTGGCATTCATACTATTATTTCACTCTATTGATAGTAGCTCTCCATTTTCTTACCTATCTCAATGTTTCTCAAGATCTGAGGGAGAACAGTTCCCTGAATGCAGCAGCAGCAAGGCTGTCTGATCTGCCCATTGGACAGTCGTTCACACTGGACCAGTTTGATTACCCCAACTCTGTCGTTGCTGAAAGAATGTTTCGTCATCTTACCAACTCTGATTTCCTGGGAATATCTGTGAGTAGCTAGCCCTGGGATTATATGTGAGTAGCTACCCCTGGGAATATCTGTGCCCTGGGAATATCTGTGAGTAGCTAGCCAACTGTAAACGACTGTCTGTGCTTCCCACGGATATCTCAGTAATTAGGCTTACACAGAGATTATTTCTCTCCCATATATCTAATTTGGAGGTGTTGCCCCATACTTATGTCCAGTATACTCACAAAGGTGTCTGTCTTCTGTTGCCTTGCCTTGAACTAAGTATACTGCATTAGTTACACTCATAGGGATAATTGTTACAGATGCAGGCTAGAGGATATTGCTACGGGTGTATGTTATACATTAGCTACAATGTGGTGATTATTAATGTTACAGACTGGTTTACAGGCATTGTCTTTGCGACTATTACATTCCACTAACTATCATGGCTATGTCGATTACTTGTATAACTGTTGTTGTGTTTTGCAGGGTAACCCAGTCAGGTTTGATGCTGATGGGATTCGAGAGATTGATTCATTAACAGTCTATCACTACTTCCCACCAGAAACGGGTAATAATTTTCTCTGGCTATCAGGTTTACTGGGTTCACCATTACTTGTGTTAGCAAACAAAAACAGCATGTCAAATTGGATCATTCAATGCAAGTTCTGGTAAATATTTCACTCATGGCATTACTCATCAGATATAACGACAAAAAGAGGGTGTGTAGAAACACTTACCTTTGACCCCTTTACTTTGCTGACCACAACCGCTGAAAAAGAGACACCTTGGAGACATAAAATTCAGGGGTTTAGTTTTTCGGAGAAAGTATGGTAGAATGTTGTATGACTATTGGGCAGCATGGACTGTCTTTTAGAGAGCATAATTATGTTTCTCTGTTCTATATTGAGAAGTGTCTTTTATTGAGAGGGTCCTTTCTCAGTTGTTTCACTGTCATCCCTGTATGTGTTGTGTAAGGTGGTGCAGGTGATCCCCGTGTGGTTGAGGTGGGGGAGGTGACAGACACTAGGGACCCAGAACCAGGGGATACCTTCTACTATGACAGTTCCTTCTCTGACTCCTCCGTATGGCCAGGTATATAATATATATCCTGATCCAGTGAATTTGTGTAGTACAGTGAACTGATACTTTATCTGGTGGTAGTTACTTTGAGTTCTTACACGTGAAAATATTTGTGGTCTACTTTTAATAGTGTACTAGAAATATTTATCGTTTTACATTCCAACAAATGAGCCTTAGCTATGTGCATTCTTTTTGGCAAAAGTAACTGATGGTTTAATTTATAATCAACAGCAATTGATTGTATGTCATTGGGTCAGGTTATTGAATTCAGCTACACACAGCAGAAAGAACCAACTTTTGTCGGGAGTCAACTTTATATAGGCATCATTAGGAAGTGTGTACACATAAAACATTCTGTCAAGTTGCTAGCTATACCGGAGTTTGCCTGCCAGCAGTAGATGGTTCTCATTTTTCCAGCCTGTATACTGCAAGTCACAGTTGTTTTGCCCCCCCCCTAATTGATGTGTTAGAGGGTATACCCAATGACGGGGTACCAATTGAGGATGTGGTGACAGTTTCAGTGGCTCTGACAGTGGTGTATGTCATTCTGGCCACTGCTGGACTAGTGTTTGCTGTGGGATGTCTACTCTTTAACCTTCTCTACCGGAATAGAGTGTGAGCTAATCAAACATCAGTGTGTCCTCCGATAGCGGAGTCCCTCTCATGAAAATTCTACCCCAGTTCTGCCATAGATTTTATACCTTACGGAAAAATATCTATGGTTCCAGATATATACTTTCCAATTATAAAAGTCTGAGGAGAGGATAGTGGACGTTTGTGCTGCCCCTAACATATAAAGCCTATCCTGTCAGAATGGACAGTTAGCTGCACCCATCCAGTGCATGCATTGTAGAATGGACTTTTCTAAGAAGCATTGCAACGGTGCAACAAAATGGTTGATATGACAGTAGGACAAATGGGATTGTCCCCAATGCATACCTCCTGTGGAGGTGTCACTGTAGTCATTTTTATAAGAGAAAATGTCTATGCATGAGTTTAAAGTACATACATAATAATTATGTATATATACTACGGCAAAGGGTTTATGATTGTAGTGAATGACTATCTATTCTTTTACAGACTGATAAGAATGTCCAGCCCTAACCTCAATTACATTATTGGACTGGGAGCTATAGTTCTCTACTTTAATGTCATCGTCCTGGTCATTCCTACCACTAAAGAGAAGGTGGCCCTCTTCCTCTGTAACGTAAGCACATATGTTGTCCTCTTTGTTTTATGTCAGGTACCCACAAATCATGCGTGGATTTCTCCTAATAATCTTGCCGACTAAATGTTGTTAACCATAGGTTTGGAGTTGGGCATCACTGTGCCATAGCCCAGTGGTTTGAAGTTTGCCTTTGTATTGTATTGTGTTGTAGATTCGAACCCCTACCAGCTGAGTTGCCCTGGTAGCTCAGTTGGTAGAGCACTAGCAGAGTGTCGTGGGTTCGAATCCCACCTAGAGCAGCTAAAAGTGTTTTCCTGGGTGTAGTTGACTTGCTTGCTTAGCCCTTTCCTTTCTACCTCACCTTGTTGTTGACACATGAACAGGGAGGTTTATAGTAAGTGGTGTGTGTGTAGTTGGAGGAGAAAATGATTCGTCTTTTTTAATGGATGAAATTGCTTCCTCCTGGTTATAGTTTGGGCAACCAGACAGGCAAGGTGGTCAACATTTTAAAAGCCAAAAAAAAATGTCATGAAAGTGCTGAGATATTAAAATCTAAAAATTAGAAACGGAAAAGTTTACTTCAGACACTGCCAAGTGTAAAATACAAGAATTTGCTCAGGGCATAGAATGTTATTTGTAGTACAGAGAAACAAGTTAGAAATACTACGCCTTTCTTGTGCTGAGCAACCAGGTAGTCTTGATTTGGAATACAGACCTCAGGAGACCAACATTGTTCTTCATTTGAAAAGCGATGATCCATGACTCATGATATTGCTTATAGCAAAAACGAAAATGCTTAAAACATAGGTTATGAAGGAGGAGTGCTTATTCAGCATATTAACAACCAGAGTATCCTCCAATAGCCTAGCGTTTACAAATTACCACAAATTATGAAGTAATGTTCATTTATTATTGGATTTGGTATTAGTATCTTTTTGTTGCAATGCTACATCTAACCGAGTTGAAATAAGTGCATCGTGGGTATTTATTTCTCCTCAGTTCACTCCATGGCTGACTGCAATTGGCTACTCCCTTTGCTATGGGACAATCCTAGTGAAGATGATGAGGGTCTGGTATATCTTTAATAACCCAAGAATCACCACCAAATACGTTAGTGGACCTTGTATGCAATTCTTTTCCATGCTATATACTTCTAATAATACTCTTAGTAATTTATCTGCATGTTATGTGTATTGTGACACTTGCAGCAATTCCATGACTGGATGTTGGCCCTGGCTGTGCTGGTCCTCGTGATAATTGATGTTGTAATCATAGGGGGCTACCTGGCTGTGGAGAGAATACGAGATCAGCTGGTGGTGGATAAGGTGCCAAACAGAGAAAACCATGAGGATGTCATTGGAGTGAGTTGGTCAACCTGCACGTTACCTAATGATGCAATAGGGGGAGTTACCAGGGGAGGTAGCATTAGTTGATTGAGGTAGGCAATAATATCAATTTACTTGCAACATCGAATAAAACAATCTTTAGTCAGTTGTATATAGGGTTCATGAATTGAGTAGATGATATCTCACGTGATTTGTTCACTCGTTCCAAGTATTCTATAGGCCATGTACTGTATAGCAATGTATATCAAACCATCACTGCCCAGTTTACTTTACACCTAAAACTAATGAGCTCCGAGAGACGCTTACAGTGTAAATCGATACTTTACTTATTCACAGGTAGATTATCTGCATGATAGAAGTAACTGTGTCTTAATTAGGTAAATCTTATTTTCAGATCAAGTTTACTCTAAAATGTTTGAGAAAAAAAACTGTTAGCAAAAATGCAGAATGTAGTAGTCAAATTTGGAGTTGGGTGTTACTGAGTAATACAACAATGCTGCATGGGTGAAAAAAGAGTGAACCATGAAAAGTGTGGGTGATAATGGTAGTTAAAAGTCATATTTTCTGCCAGTATTAAGGCAGTTGCCTCACCATGCTATGTTGGAGAGGCCTCTACTTCTGCGAAAGCCCATGTCACAGTCACGAATGTTGCTTAGTTATGTAACCCATGTAGTCTCATCTCTAGGTCCGTCCACCTTGTAGATTAAATCTAGAATGTGATGCATGAAGATGCTGGTGACTGATGCTGATAAGCAACACACCTGTTAATAATACATGTTCTCCCTGCAGCCCACAGCAGAAGTCCATGCATTCTTCCTCTACTTGTGCCACACCCAAGGTCAAGCCATTCTCTTTGCCATACTCTACGGCTACAAGGCTCTACTCCAAGGAACTGCCCTTGTCCTTGCCTTTCGTACTCGCAAAGTCAAAGTCAAAGGTCTGGATGACTCCAAGTACATAGCTGCTGCCATCTATGTCACCAGTATAGTGCTGGCTGTGGTTATTATCTCCACTTACACTTTGAGAGATAATGTCAACACATTCCCTGCTCTGGTGGGGATGGGGCTACTGGTGGGGACTACAATGATCCTGGCACTTGTCTTTCTCCCCAGGGTAAGTTGTGTTCACACTTTACCACTCCTTCCTCAAATTCGCGTAATCCTGGCATAAAGTATCATGCTCTTCACTGTTTGAAGGCCACTAAAGATGGTTAGAAATAAGTCTGCTCACCTGCTAGAAGCAACAATTAAACATGGTTATGCAAGTATTTTTTCACATACTGTTGCAGTTGATTATCATTTCATTCACAATTCCAAAAGCAGAGGCCATGACTGTTTTTAAATGAGCTAGCTACATATAAGGGAATCTGTTGTTCACTGAAAAGCTGTTTGTCCATTTCTCCAGATGGTGGGGCTCTACAATGACCCAGAGGGGAAGAATGTGTTTAGCATGACTGATCCTAATCAGAGCACTGAGATCAGGGAAGACAGTTCAACAACCGAGACCCTCCGCTACAGGATCAGAGAGCTCGAGAAACAACTTGAAAAGAAGGTACAGCTACTATGCTGCCACCACACCAGTCTCAGGACCCACGGGCCCCTTGTTGTTCAATTAGAGTTCTCTACTTCCTCAGAAATAATAATTGCTCACAGCGTTGATTATTGCATGCATCTCTCCATTGGGTTTGGCTACAACTATGTAAAAGCATGCTTCTCTGCCATGTAAGCAGAAACAGTTGCAGCTGTTTCTAGTAGTTTTTCTAAATTATGCACACTGTTTCTGACCTTTTTTCAATTACCTTGAACTGTCATGTTCTTCCAGAAGGGTGGTGTTGTAAAGAGAGAAAACACTGCTGAACACAACACTCAACAAAAGAATGGCTCTCATAAGATGTCCCTGACATAGCAGCTGATGAGGGCTATCAAGACTACAACAATTTCCCTACAGTATTCAATATCAGTGCAATGTAAAATATCCCACTTCCGCTTTTTAAAAATATTACTCCTCGGTGCATTGCACCGCTAAAGTTGATGTGCCACGAGGTTGATAATCTACGTACTATGCGTCCAGTCTAATTAATGTCGTAGAATCTCAAACATCTCGATGAGGGGTTCTTACAGAAATTTTAAGAGAACATGCTATGCTCCCCCCGGAACACCCTGAGATTGATTCTGTCAGTATTTTCTAGTAGCTATACGTACGTACGCGACCCTCACCCATTGTTCGAGTTGTGCCGGGAGCCTGACCCTGGAGACAGTTGACAGCTAGCTAAACACCCATAGCTTCTGGCTAACTGCACAGGGAAGCGATACACCTGCATTTCTCCAATCTGATTGACCGGTGTCAATTTCGTGTGACTGCGGTATAACTGCCTATTCCAAACGGTCCTCTAGTGCCTGTGCACACTTCCGTCGATATACTTATAGCTAGAGCGGGTTTAAAATATGAAGAAAATAAACAGAAAAACACAGAAAACAGTAACACCCTACAGAAGAATGGCGTTAATGCTTCGAGACCGATCGCGCATTCGATCTCGCGTGCGCCAAACGTGCGCATGCTCCCGCGTTCACACATTTTGCATAAAGGCACAGTGCCCACAAGTCACAAGTGTATTGTTGCTTATGTCAGGAAATGGCGTTTCTAATCAGTTCCAGTCTACTCGTATCGGCGCTAATCTCGCTATCGTATGCATCGGCTCCGTGGCCCTATCTGCAAGTATATCCACGAGTGAATGAAACTGACGGTCTCACACCGCTCTATTTCGCACTAATGCTCTCATTTGGTGGGGATTTTTCGAGCGCTGGAGCACTGCCGGGAGTCCAGATAGCACTGGACTACATCAACAGTGAACCCTCCATCCTCCCTGGATACAGTCTACACTACACCCTCACAGACTCCCAGGTATGCTATATAGCTACTGAATAAAACTTCTTACATCAACAAAGGTGCCCCTTATTTCAGTGCAATAGAACTGTAGCAATCGATTCATTTTTTCGGGAGATTAATCGCGCGCCAACCAAAGTAGGTTGGGTGGGATCGGGTTGCTCTGTGGCCACTGAACCAACTGCAGAACTGTCACAATTTTTCAACATCACCCAGGTACTGCCACAGTCAGCTATTGATGAATTATTTTTTAAATGATAATTATTGTAGTTGTCCTGTACATCTAGTTATCATGTTGATGGACTAAGGTAAGCACAACGACTTATAATATACAAAGTGTGTTTGTCACCCCTGTTTGCTTAATGCTGAAAAAACACCGTAGCTACTACTTTCAGCTGCTATCACCATCGAATGTCCTGTCTTGAGGATTCTTTGCAGTCATAAAGTATTTCAAGTGGAGAAGAGTTTCAATACTCACACAAAATGAGAAGGACTTTGTTAAGGCAAGAAAAATAACTTTCTGTCGGTGATAAATGTCTGGAACTCTGTAGATGACAGACCACTTAAAGAGGTATCTGGCAAGTGCAGAGATAGAATACACAGAGAGGGTGTTCTCCAGTGGGGAAAGTATCAGGGGACTTGGAGCTGAACCATTTGTAAGGAAAAACCTACTCTACTTGTTTGTCTACACCATGCATTTCTATTAGTGAAAGCTGTTTCTTGTCCAGGATGCTGATTCAAGAGTGTTCATATTAGCAATGTACAGTCCACATGCGCGGGCACTCGCTTGTGAGGTGAGTAAACACTTTACTATAATTATCGCCACAGAGACATGAGTCCAGAGCTTCCATGAGTCAATACAATATAATTATACTAGGCATTAATACTTTATACACAGCTTAGTAGAAGATCCCCGTGGCGCCCAAAGGGTTGACTGGAGTCGACTACAGCTAGCTAGCTATTGAAATTGTCTGCTGCTGTTTATCATGGCAGGCTTATAGACGAGGGATAGGTTACCCGACCCACCAGTTCCTACTCTATGGCTGGTATAGAGATGACTGGTTGGAAGAGAGACTCAGCCCTGGCAATCTCAGCTGCTCTCTCGAGGAGAGGACACTGGCTCTCCACTACTCCATATCTGTTCGGGCACTTGACTACAATACCCAGCGAACTTTGGTCACAGATGGAGGACTGGTGGGTGTAAACTTGTTATATCCTACTTATACTTCATTGAGCATAGGTTTATCGCTCTATTCTCATTTCCTAAAGTGTCACTGTATGTTCTTTAGAAGGGGTTATTTTGTACACTGTGCATTGATCGACAGCTGTTCACCTTCACTGCAGACTCTGGTAGATTTTGAAGAGCAGTACAGAGAAAAGTTGAGTGACCCAATAAACAACGACCTAAACCTTGACTCTCTGGTGGGGAGTAATGACAGGGTCTTCCCCTACTCTCAGCAATGCCATGAAGCAACACTCACACTAGCTAAAGCTCTTCAACTGGTGCTAAAAGGTCTGTCAACTAAATATTTTGTAGTATGGGAAAATGATAATTATGTGTTGTGACACATTGCACTTTTAACCATAATTATAATTATTACTTCTAGATATAAATGACACAAGTGAAAGTCTAAGTATTGAGGCAGCAGGGAGGGAGGCAGGACTGTCAGAAGGAGAGACATTCACACTGGCCAACTTCACATACTCCAACTCTGCCATTCTCCAGAGGATGTCCCATCATATCAGCTCCACTGACTTCTTGGGAATATCTGTGAGCATTTGTGACATAAAGTTGTTCATTACACTTTCATACCTTCCCTCATTCAAACGTTTTGGCTGTGAATAGGATAGGCTGGCTTCTGATGTGTCACCCTCGTTGGCTCCTATTGTTCTCTGTTTGCTCTGTCTCTCAATAGGGGAGAAGAGTGAGTTTCAACAGCAACAGAACAAGACCAATAGACACACTGGTCTTCTACCAGTACCACCCCTCTCCAACTGGTTTGTTGCGTTAACCACAATCCAGTAAAAATCATTATGTATTCGATTTGCATGCAAGTATAATTATATAGCACTCCCCTGTTTAGCCTGTTTTGAATGTTAATCAGGTTATGAAGTATACCGCAACACTTTTCTGGTGGAAGACAGATAGCTAGTTACTGCTTTTCATGCATGATTTTTGGATACACATTCTGCCACTATCCTTGAAACTAGAGTTTACACTGCATATTCTTTGTATAATGTATTGCTACGTTCTCTGTAGGTCGTGTGAGTTGTGTATTTTTGTCATTGTAGGAGCAAGTGCTGAATCAGTGGAGATTGGCACCGTGCCAGTGGAGACTGCAACTTTCTCTCCTGTCAGCCATCTCAGCCAGAGAGACATTTTCCCACGTAAGCAATGAATATGTCGAGTTACAGTACAACAACATGTAGAGAGAAACAACGTTCAACAAACTAAGCTAGGTGAAGCTGCTGACTGTACTAGAGAGTTAACTAGTCCATCAGTCCGCTCATGCGCACAAAAATTATACATGTGCAGGTTTTTTTATTCCTGCTTTGCTGTAGCTATGTGATTAACAACGTAATATTCATCTGCAATGTCTCGTTCACACAGTGGGAGTGCCGAGTGACGGTGTGCCAGACAGGGTAATAGTGACAGTCGCTCTTCCAGCTACTGCCATCCTAACCATTCTCTCTATCTGTGGGATATGCTTTGCTGCTATGTGTCTGCTCTTCAACTTTGTCTGCAGGGAGCGAAAGTGAGCCGATGATTTTTAAAATGTAGGGTCATAGAAATGAAGGAGAGAGGAATTTATTCATAATTCCTGCAACACAGTTTTGGGGAAGAAGCAAGCAGTTGGATTTTTTGTGCACGTCACACGTATTTAGAATCAGGTAGCTAGCTACAACACTAAGGTGTATGCAGTGCCCATCACATATTATTTTACAGAAATATCTGCATTCATATGACTGGTATACTGACTTTGCTCGCCAAATATCATCCTGACTATGCAGATTATGCGCCTGGGAGTTATATTGCTACGGCAGCTTAGCTAGACATTCTCACTCGTGTTTTAAGTGAACACTGTGTCACATTTGACCCTAGTGTCCTTGGCAGTAGTGTCAGTAGTTTAAGCAGTTCTCACTAATTTTTATTACATTATGCATCCAGGTTGATGGTGCTCTCTGGAACAAGTCTAAATTACCTGATTGGACTAGGGTCCATCATCTTGCTTCTGGGAGTCATCATAGCTGCCATACCTCTGACAGGGGAGACTGGCAATGCTGCCATGTGCCATGTAAGCAATACAGAGGATCTAGTGTACAATCCCAATATCAAATCTTCATGTGACCTGGGTGTGGGTGTGACAAAACATAAGGGCTAAAATGGAAACTTTTGCACTTCTATTGTTAACCCTCGGCGCGCATGCGCAGCGAGGGTTACGGTACTTGGTCTGTCGGTCTGTCTGTCTGCCTGTCCGCGCGAGTTCTCGCACTACAGGCTACGAGGCGGCCAATGAGTGGCACCAACCGGTTGTGAACAACAGGAAGATGGATATCGACGTGGCGATTTTCCTGAAACGAAAGCGAAAAAGCCAACGTGTGGTCGATCGCGGGAGTTCTCGCACTACGTGCTACGAGGCGGCCAATGAGTGGCACCAACGGGTTGTGAACAACGAGAAGATGGATACGAATGTGGCGCTTTTCCTGAAACGACTGCGTTCCAGAGATACGGCGTGAAAACAACCTACGTGCGGTCGATCGCGCACCCTCTCTGGCAGGCTACATCTAGCGCGCACGCGTCATGTCAATTTTCTCTGGAGCATGCGCTACGCCACGTTGGTTGTACGATCCACGGGCTTTTGATCTCTGTTCTCAATGGATAAACATGCTGAGCCAAGGTATGTCCGCAATGCAGCATAATAGTTCAGGTGGCGAGCAGTTTGTGGATGCAGCCATGCCTTCCCATTTATAAAACGTCTGGCGAGAGCATTGAAACACAGAAGAGCGGATAGATTGAATAAAGCAAATATGAGAGCCTCTGAAACACCTGAGCAATTGCTCTAACCGCTAATGCAACTATGCTGTGTTACAGCGAGACTTGTGTTAAAACACGGGGATTTTGCAATTATTTTCCTACGCTTAAGTTTTTTTTGGAATTCTTCCTCTCCACAAAATATTTCCTGCACACTTTTGAATGTGCAGGAAGAATGCTTCCGGCACTTTTGCATATGAATCTTTCAGTAAAGTGACATAGTGGGTTTCTTCAGTTTATACCCTCACTTGAAGAACAAGTTTTCATATTTAATAATGACAGTGTTTAGTGACACATGAGCCTGTTTTCCCTGATCAAACAAAGTGTGACCCTTTGTCTCTTCTGCAGCTACTTGATTGCTTCACTAGTATTGGATTCTCTCTCACCAATGGCACAATTGCTATGAAGGTCATCCGGATATGGTACATACACAATCGCCCAAAACTAAACAAAAAGCTAGTAAGTTCAACAAACACGAGTATTATTTATTTTCACATTTATTTTTTCATCACAATTATGGCATTTCCACAGGCCATACGAGATGTGCACATTTTTGTGGCCATAATGATCTTGGTAGGACTGGACACAATAATCATAGGGTTGTACCTTTCGATTGGTGGACTGAAAGGACAGCTGGGAGTGACTCTTACTCCCAACAGAGAAAATCCCATTGAGCTCATTGGGGTATGTTACTTGCAGGGTTACATCCAGAAATAAGCATTTTGGGGAGGATGATTAATCATTCACGAGATAGCACCTGGTGAAATGGTTTGTTATGGTATTGGAGTAAAGTCAGAATGAGGTATATATATACAGGGTCTAAAAGGCCATCTCTATCATGTACAATGTTAATCCCTTTTGTGGGAAGCTGGGCCATTTGGGATGAAGCTTCCCTGCTCCCTCCACTAGAGAAAGCCCGCGCCTTACTTTACCGCATGTGGAATAATATTGGCACATTAGGCGATGTTGGGTTCCTTAACAGCACCTAATGTGCACCTAAATATAACCATTAAGTGCCGTTAGGTGTCCCCAAAATAAGTATTTGGAGCCCAGCACCAACAACAGCAACCACATACGTCATTTGTGCTCTTTGAAATTGATAAAGACTTTACAACCATTCTTATCTTTGTACACAGCCAACAAACAAGATTACTGAAAACTATTTCTACGTCTGCTCTGGCCCTGGCCCACGAGTTCTCTTTCCCACTCTCATTGGTGGCAAAGTCTTTCTCCTGGTGATGGCACTGGTGTTCTCACTCAGGACGAGAAAGATGAAAGACGATGGTCAAGACGACTCCAAGTTTATCGCAGCCTCAGTGTACGTCATGAATGTGGTGTCCGTGGTGATTATCGTCTCCAACATATCTCTGGTTGGGTTCCTCAACACACGACTCGTAGTTCTCTGCCTCTTCCACCTTTTCGGCAACATAGCCGTCCTCTGCTTGGTTTTCATACCAAAGGTTAGCCTCTCCGTATCTAGTTTTAGTGTTACATTGGCATTGTGTAGCAAAACAGTAAAATGAACAGGGTTTTGTTGTTGGTAAAGTAAACGTGTAAGTGCTGGCACACCACGCTAACTCACATAGCACGACAATGCACATTTCGCTCCCAATGTCACTCTTGGTATATATACAGAAAAAAATAATTTAGAGGAACAAAGGAGTGAAAGGAGTGCACTAAGCATTAATTATTGTGAAGGAGAAAAGGGAAAGAGGTCTAGCTACAAAAATCCCAGTGGGCAATGTGTTGGTAAAAATGTCATGTTCGATGGTGCATATGCATTGATGTCATTTGTAATATCCAGCCACTGACAGTCCAGAGCTTCCATAAGTCCATAAGAATATATATACATAATTGTATAATACTAGACAACACATACTTCATCATCTAATTTCTGCTAATTTAAGTAGATAGCATAAAATAGTATTACTTTACAATCATGTGTAATTATTATACCGTGTGCGATGGTGGCGATCTATCAGAGATCCCAAGGGAGAATGTGGTGGTGACCGTGTCAGGGATGGTGGTAGGGGCTCCTCGTCATACAACTGTCACCACCCAGGATGAAGAGAAACTGGAGGGACTGAGGCAGAGGCTAGAACATCTACCAAGACACAGTCAAACACTACCGGAGATGAAGGTAAGGATGCTCGCGGAGCATCCTCTTAGTAAAAAGTGCATAAGTGCATCCCACCTAGGTGCCATAGTCCCTCTCATATATGGACCAAAGAACTACGTCTTGGCTGTGTAGCTAATTTACGCCGTTGACTTACTCTCCTTTCGCTTTCTTACACATCGTGTAGCATTATGCAATTGAATTCTGACTAAATAGCTACCTCATATAGACTACCATCTAGTACACTATAACATTTCGTGACACAAATACCATTTGTGAATAATTACATGTGATTATGTGACAAAGAGAGCTAGGCTGTTCGATGATAATACATATCAGATTTCTATGCATGAAGTTTGCAAAAGTTCTGGTAAGAAGGCTCGTAAAGACAGCACCACCACAGCATCATACACAATAACCAAGTGTATAACAATATAGCTTCCCAGCATATATTATTACAATCGTGGCTGCGCTCTCGCTCAAAGCACGACAATTATCCATGCCACTGTGGACGCCTCCATGTGAGCAGTGGGATCATGACAGAGAGATGAGGAGTGAGATCTCACCGGGAGGTGGTCGTGGGAGTTGTGGGACAGACCGCTGATGTAAACCAGCCCTCCACTGATGACATGGGGACTGACCTCAACGCTCAACCTCAACCTCATCACATCTCACTCGCTCCTTACGATCACTGAACCTGATCTAAGAAGTCGTAACTGGCCTTGTATTACAAAACATCGTTATATTTCATACCTAGCATATTCTACATAACCTGCAGCAAGAGCTTTTTGTTATGCCACAAAATATTGCCTCAATGCGGCCCTATCACATACACCTTTGGTTTTACAGCCTCATGCGACGCACAGCACGTTCGAACATAGGGGGGGGGAAGCCCTGTCACGGGTGACAGACGAATCGCAACTGACCACCGGTGAGATGGGGAAGACTGGACACAGAAAGCGCATATGGAAGACAGCCTGAAAAATGAGTGCGAAAACTGGACAGAGGGAATAGAGTGGACTGAGTGCGTACAGGTAAACCTAAGTCTATCCACAGAACAGAAAGGGCAAGGGTGCAAATGAATCTGACTTGCATGTAACGAGGGGTACTCGAACTACACCATCCCCATATCGCCGCACACCTCCATGTTGGAAATCTCCCACACTGCGGCAGCATCCGAGACGATTTCTCTTGGATCTCGGCTGCGGAAGCGGGTGAGTAAAGAGCGTACTAGGGAATAGCTAGAGGTGAGGATCTGCTGACGGGTTCATACAGTGAAAGAAGGACAGCACTGAAACGGTGATTACGTGAGGTAATCCTAAGTAGGCCAGTGGACACAGGCGACTGAATTATGGGAGAGCCACAATCTGTAATAATATGATGAGGACATCCACATGTCAAAAGCGTCTGCCAACAAAAAGCACAGGTGTAGGTACCTAGCGGATGTCCGCCTCATAACTCATCCTTCCGTCACTTGTCAGTGTAACAACTTTCCGGAATATTCTCTCTAGTTTCGTGTGAATACCGCTGAGACTGATACCGAGAAGTGCTGTCAAGGTGTCAGCGGTTACCCGTCATCCTATCATTTCACCGACACCTTCGCTGCTCGCGTGTAGTGCGTGATGCCAAGGTGAACCGTCTGTATTCATTATCCCACAATCTCGTAGCAGGTCACCTACTCAGTTCTTAACATGTGCATGGACCTTCTGTGTGTGCGATCCGGCCTGATGGCTCGGTATTCGGCATGCGCCTCTGATCTTCGCTTGTGTGTTTAATGGGGGGGCCACGACCTACTGCGGAGTGCTACAAGCGATAGTGGTTCACGCTTATTCTATACCAGGAAAGATAGGAAATACGCGCCAACTGACGGCCAGTTCTCATAGGAAGAGACGCGAGTACAAAACACATAGAAGCGCGAGGCTAGCACAGCTATGGGGATACCGTGGATTTAGCGTGGGTGTACTGACCTAACAGTAGCACAGTGTAAGTCTACGTTGTCCGAGAGCACAGCTACATGTCCCGACAATCGCTTGTTGCTCTCCTGGAACAGGTACAATGACGCCATGGTTCTGTGAACTGAAGTCCGTAGAGTTAATACACTTTTGAGCACGCATAATTCGTAAAGATATAGGGGTACAGTTTCCGTGGGACCATAGGTGCTACACTCCGCAGCGGGGTCTGCTCTCGTGACAAAACCAAGGAAAGGGAAAAAAAACAAAAGGCACCAAGACCAGGGGGGGGGAGAAAAAATTAATAATGTTCACATGTATATTGTTTAAACGCTATAGAAATAGCGTGAATTGTGACCCATTGGGGTCCCCGTGGGGACACAGATAGACGTTAAGTGACAGGAAGAAAAAAAAAAAAAGGGGATCACAAATTGAGATGTATCATATGGTCACATGATAAAGCCGAGTCATTTCTTTTTTGCACTGACAAATCCGCATCGAATAACCAAGAAAACTAATCATTTTTGGTAAAAAACAAAATGGTAACCCAAATACCGAGTTAAGTGCTAGAAGTTATACAAGGAATATGCTGCAAAAACCGTACTATAAAAAAAAGTAGGCAATCTGGACAGACAAACATTCAGCGAATTATGCGAGAACCTACGAAGAGTACTACTGTGCGATCCAAAGAAAGTGTATAACAACAAAAAAACATGTACACCCTTATAACTTCTGTGTCAACAAAAAAAAAAATGGCCTAATATCAGCAACAAAAACCGAAAAAAGTCGAAAATCTTAAGTTAGTGTAAACTCGAAAAACCATCTTTCAGTCGAGTGGACACGTAGGGTCTGTGACACAAGACAAGTGGAATAATGAAATCGAAGGCTGAGTAGAAATACTTCTTGAAGATAGTCTCCTAGTACTACAAAACACGAAGAAGTGATAGTGTGGGTGCATTAGCCACCGTTGTACAAGAGCAAACAGAGAGAGACCAAACATGTTCAATTTACCAGCAATAAGCACGCTTCGCGAATCAGAATTCACTAACAAGCTGCTGCCACTCTTTCTGAGGCCCTGAGTGCACATTTATATCACAAACTCCATCATGCAAAACTCAACTAATATCTAGCTTCACTTGAGAATATCGTATGATCTGTCAATAATTAATTAGCTAGATAAAAATGCAGCCCTGCAATGTGTTGATGCAGAACGACTGGGTCCGAAACCATAATCTTACTAGAGTCGGTCTGTGGGATTCAAATTCGCACCGAAGGAATAGCACATGTTATCTGTGGGAACGAGAAGACGAAACGCAAGAAAATATTTGACAACAACTTGGTATCTAAAAAACGGAGAGCTATGAATATAGCGCGTGTGCCGGGTAAGTGTGGGAGACGCAGTGTCGCGGCAAAAGTAACACGACACCGACGTAACGAAAACACATTAGAAGTAGTAGCAAATGCTTCACCAACTACAGATGCAGCATGTCGCTGCCGGGGCTTGGCAACACTTTTCTAGTTTAAACACAACCCTCCCTCCGTTCTGATATTTATCTGTGCCCGCCACATCATTTTCACATCTATTGAA